GTATGGTGTGATGTGTATGTGTGCTTGTGTGTGTGTGTGTGTGTTTGTGTGTGTGTGTGTGTGTGTGTGTTTGTGTGTGTGAGTGTGTGTGTGTGTTGAAGGAAGGAAGGCAGGGATGGGGAATGGTTTAACATACTTTGCTTTATTTTTAAAATTTGTTATTGCTCACTTTGTTTCACACTGTAAAAAAGATTTTCCATTTTTTATTCAGACTTGTCTCTGTAGAGGAAGGCATACAGTTCTCGTATACATAGTACCACTGAAGTCAGCATTTTCGACAAATATATTATACATTGACAGCAGCATCAGGAACCGTAGTTTGGACAACAGCAACAACAACAGCAACAACAACAGCAACAACAACAGCGACAGCAACAACAACAGCAAAATCAAAAGCAACAGCAAACGCAACAGCAGTTGCCGACTTGACAGGAACATTCAACACAAATTAGAGAACGTTCGTAGGCGTGGGCCTGTATAATTTAAAAGAATGATATAGAGAGGAAAATGGGAGAAAAATACTCTCTGTTATTGCGGCGCGAAGTGAAGCGCCTCTTTAGTGTCACTGCTTCTAACGGCTCTTTAAAGTGGCTGATAACTTTGGAATGTCCTGGGAGGGGTGCACCTTACGGAATGTTGAAATGTTGAATCGTGTCTGATGTTTTGTTTTGTTTTTTATATATGTTTGAGAGCCGGAGAAGGGGGGGGGGCAGTTCTGGATTGAGTGGTAGCTGTCAAGGCATAGATCGAAAACAGGTGACCACACTTTCAGTGTTTCGTTTCATGGGCTATGATTGAAAGATTTGTGGGGATGATGTTTATAATGCAAGATAACAGTTTTGTGCCTTTGCTACAAATTCAAACAAACAGACAAACAAACAAACCCTCAAATAAACAAACTCTCTACTCACTTTTTAGAAACAAATCGACTGATTGCCGTTTTTTCCTAATTTAAAAAAAAAACAAAAAATGAAAGCACGGAGCTTTGAATACTCTAGAATAGCTAGGCTTTTCTTATTTGTCTCGGACGTTTGAGCTTTACGATTTGGCATGGGAAAGGGTGGATGAGGGGTAGGGGTGTGGCGCAGGAAACTATAATTACTCTGAGATCTTACCAGTACCTCCAATCTGTAATTTTGCGTAGTCCTGGCGAGATCAATGCCTGCGCCTGGGGACACGATCCCCCCATGTGCTGACCTCAGCTAACCTGCCGGTGAGGACCCGCCAATTTCCCCGAATTTGGGCAATAGACGCTCGGACATTACTTCCAGGTCAACAGAGTTCAAAGTGTTGAGGAAATCTAAGTGGTGTAAAGACGTTAACTTTGGAGAAATAGCTTTTTCACTGGAGAGTCCTGTGGAGAAATGTTGTTGTTGCTGCTGCTGCTT